TTATGCTCATGTATACTTATTCTTTTGTAAACTATTTTTCTATGTCTATTACCCAGTTATTAGAATTATAGTTTTATAATAAATTTATATGAGTTATAAATATATAAAGAAGAAATTATATGTGTATCTGCCCATTAGTGCAAAAGAAAAGCAGTAGAACAAACCAGAAACTAATGAAATTGTTTATTTATGGGGGGGAAGTGTAAGGGGAACAAAGCAGGAAAAACAGGGGAACGAAAACGGGGGAGAAGAGTTAGTGTGAGTGACACATCTCTGAATATAAATTTTTGTATAGTTCTGACTCATAGAACCATGTGAATGTTTTACAAACTTTAAAAAAAATAGATGGGGAATAAAAACTGATATAGAAACAGAAACAAATGAATCCAACTGTATTACTGTAACATAACCACTCCAAAGGGAAGGATGGAAAGGAAAGAACCAACCCAAGTTACTTGAGAAAACAATGTTAATTGAATATCCAAAGGCTAAACATAAAAGAAGTATATACAGATACTCTACTTCAATTAGCAGGCCTGTTTAGAATAGTAGTATAGGTTAGCAGTTTCTAAACAGTGTTAGGTGTATTTGAAGATTGAGGAAATAAATAAATAGATAGATAAATAAATAAATAAATAGTGGATATGAGGTCTAGTTTTCCAAGGAATTAAAAATGAGAACGGAATTTATAGTCAACACTGTGGTGTTGGATTGAAATTGGAAGTATCAGTATGAACTTTTTTTTTAAGTATATATACAGATGTAGACACAAGTATACTGATAGATGAAGAAATACATATAGTTGTATACACATATATTTTGTAGTTCTGTCAGCTGAGAGGATCTAGAAGCAGTGATACTCAGTACAATGAGTAGATCTTGCACCCAGACCTTCATTTCTAAGTACCATTCCCCAGTAAAAGAATCAGGGCTATTTGGAGAAATGATTCCAAGACTAGAGTGGAGATATTACAAGAGAAATGTTTGTGCCAACACATCTGTGTGAAAAGGTATGGAAGTGCTAAAAATGATAGAGTCTATATAACTTTTCTATTGCTGCATAACAAATTACCACAAACTTAGCAGCTTCACACACACACACACACACACACACACACACACACACATCAGTTTAGTCCAGGAGGTCAGAAGTCCCACTTGACAGGCAAGGTTCTCTGTTTAAGAGTGCCACAAAGCTGAAATCAAGGTGACAGCCAGGCTGTGTTCCTCTCTGAAGGCTCCAGGGAAGAACCCACTTCCATGTTCGTTCAAGTTGTTGGCTAAATTCAGATCCTTGAGGCTGTAGGACTGAGGTCCCTCTTTCCTTGCTGCCTGGCTGCCAGGACTCACTCTCAGCCTCTGGAGGCTGTTCTCAGGTTCTTGTCACATGGCTCCCTTCATCTTAGAAGCCAGAATTGCTTTTATTGAATCCCTCTCACATTTTGCACTGACTTCTTCTGTAACTGAGCTCTCCACCATATTTAAAGGGCTCATGTGATTAAGTCATACCCACATGGGGCATTTCATCTTATGATCATCTGGTTTGGGACTTTAATTACATCTGCAAAAATTTCTCACAGTAGTACCTAAATCAGTGATTGATCAAATGACTGGATGATACACCATGGTCTGGCAATCTTGGGGCCATATGAGAATTCTCTCCACCACAGGGTTGTATCAAAAAGACACAAGATACAGCAACCAATAAATAGAAATTGCTAGAACACGATCATTTAGGTCTGTAGACTCCAGGTAAGTGTTGAAATTCTTTACAAGTAATCTTACCGTTTGCCTCAGTTTCAGGTATTGTCAGAGATCACTAGTAGTCTACCTACCTACCTATCAGGAAGATGGCAAAAATGTGCATTTTCACGTACTATAAGGAAAAGATACATATATTTAGTGCCCACTATAGTTTCAGCACAACCATTGTGTCATTTCACCCCCACTCTGCTCCTCTGAGGTGGTTACTAATTAGTGTCCCCGTTCTCTGAAGATGATGCCAAGGCTCAAATTGTTCAGTGAAAATCACAGCACTGCACAGGTGGCACAATTTCCATCCATTAACCTTGCAAATGCAGAAGTGCACTGCCAATGTTAACCAGTATTCACACAATAAAAAACATGTTAAAAAAAAGAGGAAGAGCGCAAGGGCCAACTCAGAGGGCCTACCAGTGGCTAAATCTGTTGTGATTATTTGTACAACAAAATGATAGCAGTGCATTATAATTCATAGAATAAAATATATGCCCATTAATCTATACTGTTATACATCACTGAATAAAAAATGGGGGTGAAAAGAAAGCTCTTGCTTTACAGAATTCCACTTAATAGATGTAGGAGGGATAATGGAAATAGAAAGTTACCATTTGACATATACCAAAGCAGTAAGTATTTCATGTAAAAATCATCAACATATCCTAAAATTCATGGGCAGAATAAGTGGGATATTTATATAGTCTCGAAGTACCTTCCAGAAGATAATTATTATGTAAGAGAAGATATTAACTTTATAATAGAGAAACCTGGCCAACATCACACTAACCAAGTAATCAAAGTTACAATCACCAATGACAAGTTGACATCCAGTGCCTTCTGGTGTAATGCACTAAGGATCCATCACTTCTACGGTGTTCTTACCAAAAATGTGTAAGTATGAGAAACATCAGACAAACCAAAATTGAGAGCTACCCTATGAAATAACTAATCAGCACTCTACAAAAAGTACTAAGGTGATGAAAGGCAAATAAATTCCAAGGAATTGATTTAAAGGAGACTGAGGAGATACTACAACTAAATATAAAATGTGACCCTGGATTGAATCCTGGGCCAAAAAAAAAGATGTTAGTAGGACGACAATAAAATTGAAGTCATTCTTTCCATGGGAGTGGAAGGAGTCACTTAACTCCTAATAGTATCATAGAATTATATTAACATTAATTTCCTCATTTTCGTAATTGTACTGTGCTAATGTAAGATGCTATATTAGGGAATCTGGGTGAAGTGTATACAACTTAAAAATAATTCTTTTAAATTTCCATCTTAATTTATCCACCACGCAATTTCACCAAATCATCTTGAGGTTTACTAACAATTTTTTCTAAAAGAATGGGATTATATCAAATCTCTCTCTCTCTACACACACATGTATGCATACATCTTTACATTTTCATTTTCTATATATTAAATGTAAATATTTATATCAAACTATATATACACCTATATACAAATGTTCAGCCTTCAACATATTGATACCAAGTATTTTTCCTGAATCTTTATAATTTTGTATGCTATTTGACACATAATGTTCAAAAACTCAAATTGAGGTGTTTTTTTTTTTTTCGAAGTAAGCTTTAACACTCATGGTGGGGCTTGAACTCACAACCCTGAGATCAAGTTGCATAGCTCTACCAACTGATCCAGCCAGAAACCCATCTGAGCACTCTTTGAATCTCCTATTCACTCACCTGCAATGTAGTATCCTACGAAATTTCTCGTTAAAGTAGATGACCACCTCCTACAGTTCATTAGGTGGACATGTCTTAGTTTTTACGTTATTGTTTCCAGTGTTTTACTATTTCCAATGTTTTACTATTTGCTCTCTGTGACACATCTTTTGTATGAACATCTTTGGTAAAATGCCTAGCTTTGTGATATGTTCCTAGAAAATGGTTGCCATTACCTTCCCATTAATAGAACACTTATTAATTTGCTCATGCAATTTTTATTGACTATCTACTATGTGACAGGCACTGTTCTGGGCAACAGGAAGAGCAGTGAACAAAAACAGACCCCTTCCTACCCTCAAGTCAAACAGGAGGGGGAAGAAAGTTTGCCATTTTATTTCCACAGCAATTTAACTGCTTCCCCCACTTGCTTGCCATCCTTGTTATTTCAATTCCAATTCTTATCCTGAAATTTCTAGTGGTAACTTAAAGTGGAATTAAGTATAACTACAAAAAGCACATTTATTCAATTTTTTTAACCTACAGTAAGGTTATTTATGAGAATTAAACAAGATGCAGTTAAAGTACTTAGTACATTGCTTGACAATAAACATAGCCTCTCTGAGGTAGATACTATTTATTGTTTCTCATTTTACAATTAAGGAACCTGGGGCTTGAAGATGAAAAATAACTTGCTTAATGTTACATAAGTAGAAAGTGGCAGTACAAGCCTTTGAATCATGTCTGACACCAAAGCCTTAATTCTTAACCACAGTACATGTCTTCTGTTCTAGAATATTCTCATTAATGTCAACCCATACTTAAATCCTACAGATATATAAAAAACATTGGGCTTTTCTTTCTCTCTCATTGGTATTTATCACCCTTTCTGAATTTTGGATCTACTGTCACCAACAAAAAATATACAAGGACAAGTTGCTCGATTACAAAGCCAACATTCTAGATGTAGTACAAAAGTTAATTAACTTAATCACTGATACTCAACTCAAACACAAACTGCTTACTTTATTTTTTTAACAATGAAATAGTAATAACACAATAATTTAAGTTGTAACAAAGCCACCAAAAGAGCGAAATAAAAACAAAGCTAATTAAGTAAGAGGAGTTGCTTCATCTCAAATTAGTTATCTCCTTTAAATAGGAAAAACTACCATTAGTCTGGTGGTTCTCAAAGTTGTCTGCACATTAGGATTGGGGAAAAGGAGGACTGGTGCTTAAAAAAATAGCTATAACCAAGGCCCATCTCAATTAAATGGGAATCTCTCCAGTGGGCCTCAGGCAAGGATTTCTGAAGTGTCGTCTGTGTTGAGAACAAGTCTTAAGTAATAAGCAATAAAAACCATGCCGTCAAAACAATTCAAAACCAAGAAATTAAGAAATACAACTAAATTTCTTTCTTTTCATCCTAGGAAAAGGGGGGAAGCACCTATTTGCTCCTCATTGTTCTTTATCCATTTAGGATTCCCCAACAAATATCAAACATTGGCAACTATGCAAACATGCTACCCAAATGAAATTCTCACTACTTTACATTTAGAAAGTTCTTTTAAAACTATACCACCTTTAACCCCCTACATTTTAAGTTTGCATAGATGTTTAAGTCAGCTATTCATTCAACTTAGAGGAGTCAATACAATGTACTAGAAAGCATTTTATTAATAAGAGTTATTATAAAACAATATTCATTTCATGTACCACAAATTAACTTTTTGGTACAGAGAAGAGGAATATTTGAGTGTTCCCCACCTACTTCTAAAACTGTCAGAATTCCTTTCTATAAGATCAGTATTTTCAAATTGAGTCTAAACATAAATTTTTCTTTAAGAGTACATATATAAAACACTTCCCCTGTAACTGCACTACATCCTTGACAAACCCCTTTTGAAAGTTTCAGTACTGACTGTAGGCATTTATCTTTAAAACAACTTTTCCTCATTTTTCAGGTTTGGGAATGGTATCACATCAAGTATGGAAAATAACTTTTTTCCTTAAGAATATGTGAATTCATTTAAGAGGTGCCTCCTCAAATTCAGAAGAAACCTATTCTTCAGCTCCTCTGTCAGGACTCCATGTCAATCTCAACCACTTCATCCTTGCCCTGAAGCGTTGCTTCTGGCAGGTTGTCTTCAACTACATCTTCGATGTCTGCCAGATCAATAGGTGGTAAAGGATTTCTCCAGTACTGGAAGGTGTTATACTGCCAAAATTCTTCATTGAGCTTTAGGGAGAAAAGAAAGATGAAAGTACATCAACGGTTTATAGAAAGTCACCTTTTTTTTTCAGGAAACAAATATTCTTGTTTTAAAAGCAAACTCACGTTAAGATTTTGTGGTCTTTTACTTTGCATCTTCAACAAACACACCTTTAAATTCTGCCTAATCAAAGTGCTTCATGGACTCAGTCAAATCTGTGCATTTTCATATTCATGGATTTGTGAAAATATTTTGTTAGTAGTTTAAATTTAAAAGAATTTCTTCCAAGAGCATCTTTTTTTTTTTTTTTTAAGATTTTATTTATTTATTTGACAGAGAGAGACACAGCAAGAGAGGGAACACAAGCAGGGGGAGTGGGAGAGGGAGAAGCAGGCTTCCCAATGGAGCAGGAAGCCCGATGCGGGGCTCGATCCCAGGACCCTTGGGATCATGACCTGAGCCGAAGGCAGACGCTTAATGACTGAGCCACCCAGGCACCCCCAGAAGCATCTCTTCTTGATAATTTTTTTCTATTTTTCAACCAAAGAAAACATTGGAAAATGGTCTTAAATTTTTTTTTTTTAACCTTTCAGTGAGGGAAACAATTGAATACACACACACCTAAAACTTACTTTTGGTTTTTCCCCTGAGGTTTGGTATTTTAAGGGATTAACTTTACATTCGCTAAAATATTTTGACACCTTGCCAAAAAACTTTAGGCTATAAACATGCTAAATATCAAGAAAATCTTAAACTGATTATTTTATTAAAGATACAAGATTTGGTACATGGCAGGACTTTTAAATCAGTATACTAACACTGATAAATCCAAGGTGAGTACTGTCCCGTTTAAAATTCAACAGATTCCTTTGAATGGCTGTAATATTGTTTCAAGTTACTATGCAGTGAAGCTGATGTTCCAATGAAGTTCAAAATTGGCACAGAATTTCAAAAGCAACCCAAAAATACTTTGTGCAAGGAAGCAGCACTGGAATTATATACAGGATTCCAAGGTGACCAGTTTGAAGGTTAACACCCTACCCAGATGAGTATTTATTATCTATTCTACTCGGTTGTGTTTTCACTTTAGGCTCATACTTGCAGTAACACCACTATCCAACAGAAATATAATGAAAGCCACGTATGTAATTTTAAAAAGTAAAAAAGAAACAGATGGAATTACTCTTAACAATATTTTATTTGACCTGATATATCAAAAATATTATCATTTCAACATGCAGTCAATATTTTAAAAAATTAATGAAATATTTTGCATTCTTTTTGTCATACTAAGTTTCCACAATCTGGCAAGTATTTTACACTCCCAGCACTATTCAGACTGGCCACATTTCAATGCTCAATAGCCACATGTTGCTAGTTACTTTACTGGACCACACAAGCCTATTAGGAAATTTCAGTAGGAAGTACACTGAGTGCCTTAGACACTGAGGCTTAGAGAATTAAGAGTGTCTTTGGAATTTCTTTACACTGGGGAAAAAAAAATGCAGTAATTCAAATGATGCCCCTCCCAAAATTCATTTTGATAAGCAAGAAGGGTTAAAAACAAGGGTCTGTATCTCTGCCTTTTGGAAAAAATCTACTGTTCAAAATATCTACTTATAAACATGGGCCCAAAAAAGATCCTTTAATGACATCAGTGTAACCTAGTAGCTAAGAGCACAAACTTTGCCACCAGATAGACCTGGGTTTGCATGATAACTCCACCACCCACTAACTCTGACCTTGATCTAAGTCTGTTTCCTCATTGGTAAAATGCAGGGCTCTTTTTCTTTTTTTAAAAAATATATTTCTACCCGGGACGCCTGGGTGGCTCAGTTGATTAAGCGACTGCCTTCGTGCTCAGGTCATGATCCTGGAGTCCTGGGATCGAGTCCTACATCGGGCTCCCTGCTCAGGAGGGAGTCTGCTTCTCCCTCTGACCCTCTTCCCTCTCATGCTCTCTCTCAAATAAATAAAATCTTTAAAAAAATAAAAAAATAAAATATATTTCTACCTATCTACTTATTCATTTTGGGGGGGAGGGGCAGAGGGAGAGGACAAATCTTAAGCAGGCTTCATGCTCAGCACAGAGCCCAACTAGGTCCATGATCTCACAACCCTGAGATCATGACCTGAGCCAAAATCAAGAGTCGAACGCTAAACCGAATGAGCCACCCAGGTGCCCCCAGGACTCTCTTTAAAATTAAGGATTAGTACTGTAATTGCTCAATACTGCTAGATATTATAGCCCAAGAAACCCATGAATCATTCATTACTTTCTTCTTAGGAATAGGAAAAAAAAAAATTTCTTCTTACTTTCCATTAAAAATAGCTAATAGTGAGGGTCAGCACAGAGCAATGAATCTGCATAAAGTGACACTATCATGAGAAAACACATAAATATTTAATTAAGTAATACCTGGTTTTATTTTAGTTCTCTGGCTAAAAACACCAAAACAAAACAACAGAAAAAAAAACAACAAAAAAAAACATCTGAGACAACTCAAAAAATATTCTGAGGTTGTAGGACAGAAAAAAGGTATCATTATTCTGCCTAAACTGAATCCTCAATGTAGAAAGGACATTTTTGAGAAACTTTTTCCTAAATGAGATCCCAAGGGTGAGGGTAGGGACTATTCCGAATGCCAGGAACCAGGGAGACATATACTGCATGAATTGAAAAGCCTTTTTAACTTCTCCATGTTTTCATTATACCCTGTATCTTGGTAATTCACTGGAAATCCCTTAAAACAAAAAACCTCCATCTTTGGAGGCAGGATAGAGGGCAGCCGGAGAAAACATGTTCCTCTCTTAAATTTGCATTAGACAAGAAGCTCACAAACAAAACTAACAAAAGAAACATGAGGATTCCTGGGCTTTTGCCAAAAGAAAAGAACAGGGATTGTCTTGGTGAAGAAGGTACCCCTATGGCCAAGCTTAGTCCTTGCCATGGACCTATAGTGACTAGGAAGCAGAGCGGCCAGATGTAGTCACTGCTGTGAAAGATACCGGTGTATGGGGCCCCTGGGTGGCTCAGTCATTAAGCGTCTCCCTTCGGCTCAGGCCGGGATTCCAGGGTCCTGGGATCGAGCCCCGCATCGGGCTTCCTGCTCCATGGGAAGCCTGCTTCTCCCTCTCCCACTCCCCCTGCTTGTGTTCCCTCTCTCGCTGTGTCTCTCTCTGTCAAATAAATACATGAAATCTTAAAAAAAAAAAAAAAAAAGATACTGGTGTGTCTAAGAGATTCTAAGAAGGTGTCTGTGTCAGTCCACTAAAAAATCCTCCATATTTCCTTCTTATCAACCTGTGGCATACTGCAGTCAATATGTTCTGGTAGAAAAGACAAGTCCATATATGGGTGGGGTGCCAAAATGGTCTCAAGAGGAAGAGTTTTCAAAGTGCACAGTAGTTATCTCCATATCAAATAGGTCTGGATGACTATCATTCTGGGGTTATTTTAGGGTTTGCCATTGGCAACACATGCTATAACCGTAAATTCTAACTATTCTGTTTTCAAAACATAAGTGCTATCATTCGGTTTTAAGTAAGCGGATTTTGAACATCTAAAAGCAACCTGAAAAAAAAAAAGTCTAAAAAAACCCGTTTTCTAAATTCCAAGACAACTGGGGGTGGAAATATTTACAATTTAGAATTTCATCCAGAAATCCTCGTTACTGTCCAAAGGTAATTTCTCACAACCACAGAAAAAGCTCCTTCCCAACTACCAAATTCTCATTTTATTGGGTTTTTCACCAAGAAGTCCTGCCAAAGGAACCTCAATTCACTTTTTGTCTAGCAAGGCATTAGATAAATTCTGCGTAAGATACTCAAAACATTGGCAAAATGTGAGATGGATGCTATGATGTGGTGCTTGAAGAGTTTGGTGAATTGAGCCCTACATTTGGTCTTCCTATTCCCAAAGCTTCTGGTAAGTCAACCCAGAACTGCCAAAAAGCAGCCTTTAATTCCTAAGTCTAGACCAAAGCTGTCCAATATATAATGCCAGCCACAAACATAAATTTTTCTAGTGGCCATACTAAAAAAAGTACAACAGGTAAATTTTCATACATTTTATTCAACCAAGTATCTCCGAGTTCTTTCAATGGGTAATCAATATAAAAATTTTTGAGATCTTCGAAATCTAGAGTGTATTTTACACTTATGGCACCAAGTCCATTTGGACTAGTCACATTTCAAGTTTTCAGTTGTTCCACACAGTTAGTGGCTGCCATATTGAACAGCACAGATCTAGACAAATCAGCTCTTAGGGTGCAGAGATGGGGCAGGCTCGTTTCCCAAAGAATAAGAACTCTTATATATGATCCTAGTATACGGTTTACTTTAGGGTCCAAATTAATTTCCAACAATGGTCCTTCTTCATTGGATCCGATCTAACCCTGTGAGTTTTTAAACGCCTTTTCCCAAGATAGGGAGGAGGGGCCTTCCTCTCTACCAAAAGTGCTGTCCCATGCTTACAGGCCATCCAAGTGATGGCCACCACATTGGTCACCCTCTTTAGAAAGAAATCTATCACGAATTCTTGAAGAAATCACTGTTAAGCCAAGGAAGGCGCGCTGCACCTTTCTCCATTTGAGCAGACCTATCGCGGTTCACGGTCAAAGTCTCCAGAAAGCTCAAGTCTGTCGTGACCCACACTCCTGCTTCCCTCTTACACAGGACAGGCACTGAAGGTGCAAGCCCACGTCTACCTCGCCGGACGGTCTGTTTTCCCCTCGTTTAGCCAGGTGCTTTCAGCCCACAGGACTCTCTCTCCCCAAACGCTGCCAAGAGGCCGAGGGCTCTGGGGCCCTTCCTGTGTAGCCTAGGAGTCCGAGTCCTTCCTGCAGCAGGGACCCCGGCTTTTCGCCTTTTGGGGCTTCTTGATGAACCCGAGTCAAGACGGGAACAATCTGTTCCCTCCCGGGGCGCGCAGTGGCTGCGTAAAGGGCGATGCCCTATCCCCTCACCCCGCCCGCCCTCTGGAGAGCTCAGCCAGCCCCCAGCCCCTACCTGGCGCGGTGCTGCCCCCCAGTCTCCCCGCCGCGGCTCTGTGCGCCCCGCCCCGTCGTCGCCACCGCCCCTCGGGGGCCGGGCGCCCCGGGGCTCCTCCCCTGGCCCGGGGGGCCGCACGGGAGGCAGCGGCTGCGGCGGCTCTCCCGTCTCCAGGCCTCGGCCCTCACGCTGCACGCCGCCCGGAACGCTGCTGTCCTGGCCGTCGCGGCGCTTGCTGGGCGAAGCTGAAGGCTCAGTCATAGCCCCCGCGTCGATTTTGCGCTTTCGGGGCAGCTCCGGGACGCCGACCGGCTGCCCGGGATGGGAGGCCCCCGGCGGCGGGATCCAGAGCGGCGGCGGCTCCTCGGGGAAGTCGCAGAGCAGGAGCCGCTTCCAAGGCACGTGGAACGTCAGCGGCTCGGCCGCACGCCGCTTGGCCATGGGCTCCGGAGCCTCGGGCGGAGCCCGCCCGGCGCGGGAGGCCGAGCGCGGATAACTCCGGGGGCGGAGGGCGAGGGCGGAGCGCGCGAGGGCGGGCGAGGACCTGCTCAGGGCGAGCGGGCGGCGGGCAGTTGGGGCGGGCGGAGGGGGTGGGGCGGCCGGGCCCGGCGCAGCCCGCGCGCGCGCTGCCCTCGCTGCGGCCGAGGTACCGCCGGACGTTGGGGAGCTACCGCGAAGCGGCGGAGATTCGAACCTGCGCACAAATGTGCGCGCGCGTACTCGCGCCAGGAAGGCGGAGCCGCTGGTTGGTGGAGACTCGCGAGGCGCGCTCCCGAACGCCCCCGCGGCCGGAAGTGCGCGCTCGGGGGTTGTGGCGGAGGCGGGGGGGTGGCGGGAAAGCGGCCGCGGGTTTGTTAAAGGCCCAGTGGCTTGGTCCCCCGGAGGGTGTGACCTTGTTTGCCCACGGGTGGGGGGCGGCTGTGCAAATCCCGAGCTTGGTAAAGCGGTGTAGGTTTAAGACCTTTAGAATGTATTTGTTAATATTACCTTAACTCGAGTCAGTGGCCTCGGGGACGCTTCCACGAGGTTAAAATCACCTCCAGGAGGTACAGACTTTCAGCAAACTAGTGTTGAGAGGCTCCAGCGCCACACTGAATGATCATTTCAGGCGGACTGCTGTGCGGGGGTGGCGGCTGAGGGAAGTCGCTAAAGCCAACACGCAAAAACCAAGCGGAACAAAACAAAACCCAACGAAGTGTATGTTTTGTAGTGGCTGTCGTGGAAAGTGAATTGGCACCACATTCTTCGAAGATCTTTTGATTAAAAATTCACTGATGAAGTTGCAGAGGACATGTGCAGCTCATCGAAAATAGCTCATCCCAGAGCCAAGTCCGGAGCACAGCTCTTCCTTTTCCAACTGAAACCTAAACTTGTTTGGCTCTTAAATTATGTGGGAAGCACACAGAGTTCCCTTCTTACTCGGTGCGATGGTCTAAAGTGAGATTCCAAGACCTTCCTTAAAACAGAATTTGTTATCAGGCGAAGGGAGGGGGATGAGAGCAGTGAATTTACTATAGCTTGTATTTTGATGGTTGATAAAGATAGTAACCAAGTAAACAAAAATGAGGAAGAGAGCTACATGATCGAGAGAAAGTGCAAGGAGGATAACTGTACGCTAGCTGGTAAGTACTTAACCTATATACTATTTACCCCATGCTAAGGTTGTGAGAAGATAGGCAACGACTTACTTAATAGGCACAGAAATATAATACGTTAGGGTGTTAAATAGCTTTTCTGCTTGATCTTTCCATTCCATCTTCTTTGAAATTGGATAACCTGTCAGTCTCAAAGAGCAGATCACACAGATCAGATATGAAAGACCTTACTTGTATTTGAAAAGTTTTGAGGGTGTCCTTCCCAAAAATGATAAAATGCGGGCTAGCTAATAGAGATACATTCCTTTGGGGTCCTCACCACAGACTTTGTTTTTCTAAATTGTGAAATACATCATACATACAAAAGGTTGTATAAAACACAAAGGAATGATGGTAAGATGCCCAGCACCCAGTTTTATAAATAGGATATTACTTGGGCCAGAACATGATAAGGTCCCTACCTGCTTCTCCCACTGGTGCCTTTCTCTCTTTCTTCCACTCCAGGTAATTGCTGTTTTGAATTTTGACTTAACCGTCCCTTTGCTTTACTTTGTAATTTTCTCATTTGTGTTTGTGTTCCTAAATAACATTTTTGGTTTTGCGGTTTTTTTTTTTTTTAGCACTTTATGGAGCCTTAATTGACATAAAATAAAATGCATATATTTAAAGTGTTTACTTTGCTGAATTTTGACATATGTATATTCCTGTGAAATCATAGCCACAATTAAGATAATACACATCTCCATCAGCCCCAAAAGTTTCCATTTGCCCTTTTGTGATTCCTCTCTCCTGCCCTGGTTCCTTCCAGGAGAAGGTAACCAGTGCTTTACTTTCTGTCATTATAGATTAATTTGCATTTTCTGGAGTTTTATATAAATGGAATCACAGTATATACTGTTCTTGTTTGGCTTCCTTCAGCACAATTATTTTGAGATTCATTCATGCTATCACATGTTCATTCAAAATTTTATTACTCAGTACTTCTCCATTGTGTGGCTGTATCATAATTTGTTTCTCCATTTACCTGTTGATGGACATGTAGGTTGCTTCCAGTTTGGGGCTATACAGATAAAGCTGCTGAGAACATTTGTGTGTAAGGCTTCGTATGGACGTAAGATTTCTTTTCTCTTGGGTACATACCTAGGAGTAGAATGGCTGGACCATGTGGTAGGTGTCTTCAGTTTTCTAGCAAATTGCCAAAAGTGGTTACACCATTTTACTTTCCCATCAGCAGTGTATGAGAACTCCAGTTCCTACACATGGTCTCCAACAATTGGTATGGTCAGACTTTATTTTTAGTTTTTCTAAACCAGTATCTCATGTATCTTATTATAATTTTAATTTACATTTCCCTAATGACTAATGATGTTGACTAATGATAGTTTATTTGCTGTCTGTATCTCTTCTTTTTTTTTTTAAATAATTTATTTGTGAGGGAAAGTGAGAGAGATCACGAGAAGAGGGGAGGGGTAGAAGGAGAAGCAGACTCCCCACTGAGCAGAGAGCCCGATGTGGGGCTCCATCCCAGGACCCTGGGGTCATGACCTGAGCCGAAGGCAGGCGCTTAACCGACTGAGCCACCCCCGTGCCCTGTATCTTCTTTGTAAAATGTTCAAATCTTTTGCCTACTTAAAATATTGAGTTCTTTGCTTTCCTATTTTCCTTATTTAATATTTTTGTGCATGTAATCATATTTCATTCATTGATACTAAGTATGGTATTTCATCATATGAATCTATTGATAAATGTTTGATTTTTTTCAGATTTTTGCAGTTAGAAATAGTGTGCAGGGGCACCTGCATGGCTCAGTCGTTAAGCGTCTGCCTTCGGCTCAGGTCATGATCCCAGAGTCCTGCTCCCCGCTCAGCGGGAAGCCTGCTTCTGCCTCTCCCACTCCCCCTGCTTGTGTTCCCTCTCTCGCTGTCTCTCTCTCTGTCAAATAAATAAATAAAATCTTAAAAAAAAAAAAAGAAATAGTGTGCAATGAGCATACTTGTTCATGATTTTTTTTTTAATTGAAGTCTAATTGACATGCTGTATCCTGTTTTCAGGTGTACATCATAGTGATTTGATATTTTTATACATTATGAAATGATCCCCATCATAAGTCTAGTTACCATCTGTCACTTTACAGTTATTACAAAATTATTGACTGTATTCCCTATGTTGTACATTGCATTCCTTGATTTCTTTTTTGACCTATGAATTATTTGTGTTAACTTTTCAAGTATTGGAGGTTTTCCTAGATATCTTTTTCTTATTGATTTCTAGTTTAATTCCTTTCTTGTTTAATTCATTATCTGTGTGGTTTTAATCCTTTTAAATTTGTTGAGATTTATTTTATGACCCAGCATATGAATTATCATGGTACATGTAACATGTGTTCTTGGAAGGAACATAATATCCTGCAGGTATTCGGCATAGTGCTTTATCAGTGTCACTTAGGTCAAGGTGGTTGGTAGTGTTTCTCAGATATTATGTGTCTTTACAGATTTGGGGTTTTTTGTTTTTTTGGGGGGATTTTTTGTCTAAACATTCTATGAATTGCTAAGAAATAGGTGTTAAATATCCAACTAGGACAGTAGATTTTTCTGTTTCTCCTTTTCGTTGTGAGTTTTTTTCTATGTGTTTTGAAGCTCCATTATTAGGCACACATATATTATGATTGTTATGTCTCTGATGTATTAACCCTTTGTTCTTATGAAATATCCCTCTTTATATCTGGTAATGCTCTTCATTTTCAAGTTGTCTTTCTTTGATATTATAGCAGTTCCAGCCCTCTTGATGCTTACCATTTGCACAGCACATCTTTTTTTCCATCCATTTACTTTCAGTTTATCTTTATCTTTATATTTAATGTTTCTCTTGGAGACAACATATATAGTTGGGTCTTGCTGTTGTGACATTCTGGCAGTTTCTGTATTTTAATTGTTTAGTGCTTTAACACTTGATAGAAATTATTGAGATGACTGGATTTAAGTCTAGTCTTTTACTATTTATTTGCTGTCTGTTCCCTTTCTTTTTTGACTCTGTACGTCCTTTCCAGACCTCTTTTGGATTAATTCAGTATTGTTTTGAATTTAAATTTAATTTAATCTATTAAATTAAATACCTCTTTGCATGAATTTTCAGTGGTTGCTCTAAGGATTGCAATATACATCTTTAACTTTCCACAGTTTACTTGAAGTTAACACTGTATCACTTCATATAAAGCAGAAATCTTGCAACCCTTCACTCCCACCCTCACCCTGTCCAGGTGCACTTTTATATTGACCCAATAGGATCTTCTTCCTATTCTGTAATTTTGTATAAGTAACTCTGATTTCTTTCCCCGGCACTTCTTATGGATAATGACTCAGAACTCATCATTAGTAACAGCAAAGCAACAAAGACGGATACTTTTTCCTTCATGTCTTCTTGGTAAAGAAGGGATGCACACTCACATTCTGCTTGTCTTAAAATTTGCCTGTTTCAGACTGATTAAAGCCCTACAGCAGTTTAGGGTGGAGAAGTGGTTTTAAATTTTTTTAGCAACTCTGTATTCGTCAGACCTTTTACATATCTCATTTAATCCTCAGAACTCCATGACAGGTATTACTGCCAATTTACCAGATAAACCTCACCCCAAAGCATCAGACCCTTATAACTTCTCAATAAGCCCAGTCCTGACCACCCTATTTAAAATTTCAACTCACTTAGCACTGCCCAGGACTCTTGAGATTCCCTTTGCCTGATTTTTTTTTCTATAGCACATACCACCTTCCAATTCATTACATGATTCACTTATTTATTATTCTTATTGTGTCCTTCTCTAAAAAGTAAGCTCCTTGAGGGTAGGGTTCTCGG